TGGATGATGTCCTTTCCGTCTTTTAGTTCTATTTTTGAAGTGGTTGTTTGAGGCAGCAAACTCCCGTGTTTACCTATGCCGCCATCTTGGTTCTCCCTTCTTCTAAAAGTTTTAAAGTTATAGCTCTTACATTTAGGTTTTTGATATAGTTTGAGTTGACTTTTGCATTTTTACATAGATAAGGGTCCAGCTTCATTCTTTTGCATGTGATACCCAATTGTCCCAGAAGTATTTGTTGAAGAGACTGTTCTTTTCCCCATTTGAATGATCTTGGGACCTTTGTTGAAAATCAATTGACCATAGATGTATTGGTTTATTTTATTATTATTTTTAACCTTTTATGTTTTATTTCTGTACAAAGTGTCCTAGCTTCTTTTTTAAAAAAAAATTAAATTCTTGCCCTAAATGGTTTGGCTCAGTGGATAGAGCATCGGTCTGCTGACTCAAGGGTCCCAGGTTCGATTCCGGTCATGGGCATGTACCTTGGTTGCGGGCACATACCCAGTAGGGAGTGTGCAGGAGGCAGCTGATCAATGTTTTTCTCTCATCGATGTTTCTAACTCTCTACTTCTCTCCCTTCCTCTCTGTAAAATTCAATAAGATACATTTTTTTAAAATTAAATTCTTTATTGTTTAAAGTATTACATATGTCTCCTTTTTCCCCCATTGACCTCTCCCCAGCCGCTTCCACCCCCATATGTTTCTGTAGATCCCTATGGGGACTATTGCCATTAGCAAAATTAATTCTTCCAATCTATGAATACTAGCAACAAATGATATGAAATGCTGTATGTACAACAACAATAAGAAAGCAATGAACAAAAGGAAATGATATCATTTACAATAGCATCAAAAAGGATAGAATACTTTGGAATAAATTTAACCGAACAGTTTTCATTGTAGTTCACTGAAAACTATAACATATTGTTGAAATAAATTAAAGAAGATGGAAATGAATGGAAAGACATCTGATTTTTGCGTGTTGATGTTGTATCCTGCAACTTTGCATGTTTCTAGGAATTGGTGTCCTCTTCAACTAGGTTATCTAACTTGTGGGTGTACAATTGTTTATATAATTCTCTTACGATTATTTTTCATTTCTGTAAGGTCATTAATATCTTCACTTTCATTTATAATTTTAGAAATTTGAGTTTTCCTTTTTTTCTCACTTAGTCTAGCTAGAGTTTTGTGAATTTTGTTAATATTTTCAAAGAAGTAATTTTTGGTTTTGTTTGTTCTCTTGTTTTTCTATTCACTGCTTTGTTTTTCTATGCTCTAATCTTTATTTTCTTCCTTTTGCTACCTTTAGCTTTAATTTGCTCTTCCTTCTTATAGTTCATTAAGGTGGAAGTTTGGGTTATTGATTTGATATCTTTTTTCTCCTTTAATATTAGTATTTATAGCTATAAATTTCTTTCTGAGCATTGCATTTACTTTATTCCATAAGTTATAGTATGCCGTGTTTTTGTTTTCTAATTTACCTTGTGATTGCTTCTTTATCCATTGGTCGAGTGTGTTGTTTAATTTCCATCTATTTGTGAACTTTCCAAATTTTCTTTTGTCTGTGACTTTTAGTTTCATTCTGTTGAAATATACTAGTACTCTCTATGGTTATAATCTTTTAAAATTCATTGAGACCTGTTTTGTCGCCTAACATATTGTCTGTACCAGAGAATGATCCATGTGAACTTGAGAAGAATGTGTATTTTGCTGTTGGTAGATGGGATATTCAGTATATGCCTGTGAGGTTTATTTGGTTTATAATATTGATTGAGTCCTCTATTTCTTTATTGATTTTCTGTCTAATTGTTTTATCCATTATTTTTTTAAATATATTTTTATTGATTTCAGAGAGGAAGGGAGAGGAAGAGAGAGATAGAAACATCAATGATGAGAGAGAATCATTGATTGGCTGCCTCCTGCATGTCCTCTACTAGGGATCAAGCCTGCAACCTGGGTATGTGCCCTTGACCAAAATTGAACCCAGGGACCCTTCAGTCCATGGGCTGAGGCTCTGCCCACTGAGCAAAACTGGCTAGGGCTGTTCTGTCCATTATTGAAAGTGAGGTAGTGAAGTCTTCAACTCTTATTTTAGTACTTATTTTTTAAATTCTGTCAATTTTTGCTTTATATATTTTAAGCCTCTATTGTTAGGTGTGTATGTCTGTACTTGATATGTATTCTTGAGGCATTGACCATTTTCTGAATACATAATGTCTTTCTTTGTCTCTTGTAAAATAATTTTTATTTAAAATATGTTTCATCTGATATCAGTATAGCCAACTTTGCTCTCTTTTGTTTGCAATTTGCATATCCCTCTTCATAATTTCACTTTAAAAAAATATTTTTATTGATTTCAGAGAGGAAGGGAAAGAAAGAGAGAGATAGAAACATCAATGATGAGAATCATTGATTGGCTGCCTCCTGCACACCACCACTGGGGATCAAGCCCGCAACCTAGGTATGTGCCCTGTCTGGTAACCAAACCGTGACCTGCTGGTTCATAGGTTGATGTTCAACCATAGACCCACACTGGCTGGGCCATGATTTCACTTTTAACCTAGTTGTGTCTTTGGATCTAAAGTGAGTCTCTTGTAGAATGCATATGTGTGGATTATGGTTTTTGTAAAAATCCATTCTCACAATCTCTGCCTTTGTTTGGAAAGTTTAATCCATTTATATTTAAAATAATTTCTGATATGAAAGGGCTTAATCCTGACATAGTACTTTTGTTTTTTATATCATATATTTTTTGTTCCTTAGTTACTACATTACTGCCTTCTTTTGTGTTTGATTTTATTTTATTTTATTTTATTTGTAGCATGACATGATTATTCCCTCCTCATTTTCTTTTCTCCATATTTTTAAGTTATTTTCTTAGTGGTTACCCTGGTATCATGGTTTGAATAGTGTCTGCCAAAAATTTATGTTCACCTGAATCCTCAGAATGCAACCATATTTAGAAATAGGGCTTTGCAGGTGTAATTATTAAGTTAAAATGCAGCCATATTGGATTAGTGTGGGCCCTAATTCAATAAGAGAAAACAGTCACACACAGAGTAATTAAGTCCATGTGATGACTGAGAAAGAGATTATAATGATACACCTATAAATCAAGGAATGCCAAAGATTCCTGACAACCACTAGGAATTAGGAAGAGGCAAGGAAGTATTCTTCACCAGGGCCTCCAAAAGCATGACCCTGTCAACACCTTGCTAGTCTTCAGTTAGAGAATAAATTTCTGCTGTTCAAGTGACCCAGTTTGTGGGATTTAATTACAGCAGTTCCAAGAAATTAGTATACTTGATTATTACAACTGATAACAAACTAGTTTGAATTAATACTAACTTAGCCTTAATGGTATACAAAACTCTGCTCCTATACAGCTTATTCCTTCTTTTTTATGTTGTTGTTATCACAAATTACATCTTTATATAGAAGTATGCCATTAACATAGATTTACAATTATTTTATGCATTTGCTTTTTCAAATCACATAGGAAAGAAAGGAATTATAAACAAAAAAATACTATAATACTGGCTTTTATATTTACTTATAGAGTTACTTTACTGATGTCCTCTTTTTCTTTGCATGTCTTTGAGTTACTGCCAAGTGTACTTTCATCTCAGCCTGAAGGACTCCATTTAACATTTTTTGTAGTGGTGAATTTCCTCACCCTTTGTTTATTTGGAAAGTCTTAATTTCTCCTTCATTTTTTTTTTGAAGGATAGTTTTGCTTAATACAGAATTCTTGGTTGACAGATTTTTTTTCTTTCAGCTCTATAAATATTCCATTCTATTGCCTTTTGGCCTCCATGGCTTCTAATGATAAATTGGCCATTAATCTTATCGAAGATCCCTTGTACATGACAAGTATCTTTTCTTTTGCTGCTTTCAGGATTCTCTCTGTCTATGTCTATTGGCAGTTTGATACTAATGTGTCTCAGTGTGGCTATTTTTAAATTTATCCTACTTGGAATTTGTTGAGTCTCTTTATTGTGTAGATTGGTGTCTTTCATAAAATTTGAAGAGTTTTTATTCATTATTTATTCAAATATTCTTTCTGCCCCCTTCTCTCTCTCCTCTACTGGGGCTCTTGTTATGTATGTCTTGCTCAATTTGATAGTCCCCTGATTTCTGTTAATTTTTCTTCATTCTTTTTTTATTTTTCCATTTCTCAGGCTGGATAATTTCAATTTATCTCTCTTCAAGTTCACTGATTTTGTTCTTCTACTGTGGCAATCTACTGATAAACCCATCCAGTGAATTTTTTCATTTTATTTATATACTATTCAGCCTCAAAATTTCTATTTTTTTACTTTTAGAATTTCTGTTGATTATTTATGAATTTGTGGGAAAGGATTAAGAGGGTGGATCCTAGTACCAACCACTGAAATTTTTCCATATGGGGTACTTCTGAAAACCCTGCAAACAGGATAGTAGCTGCCCTCTTATTTGGGACCAATGTTTCTGGGGGCCTCTTGGTAGGAAATGAGCACCTAGACATTGGCTGCTCTCCTAGATTGGTCAGAAGGGGAGGCAGCCTGACAGATTAGAGATATTACTGGCCTCAGTATACTGGCTCTGCCACTTCCTTGTGGTGTGATGTGAGGCAGACCATTTCTTTGCACCTTGAATTTCTCATCTGTATGGTAATCAACTCATCCTGGTTTGCCAAGGACTTCCCTGATTTTAGCAGTGAAAGTCCCACATCCCACGGACCCCCTCAAATGCAGGGAAACCCTATTCATCTGTGAGATGGAGATGATAATATTTACCACAGGGTGGTTGTGTGGACTATAAAGAAGATAACAGGAAAGCACCAGAGGCATGGTCAAGTCCACAGTCAATGAGTTGTTATGCAAAGTTCAGGGAGAGTCTTTAAAAACTAGGAATGATGTACCATTTAGACAACAGATTTGTAGACTTGCTTTCCATGGGGCATCTAAGAATAGAACCTGGAGAGTTTTTTGTTAGTTCTACTTAACCATTTCTGCCAGCTATCCCTCCGGAAACATTGCCATGTGTCAGATCCCCACTTGCTGCGGAGGGAGAACCATCACCTTACTCTTTAATGACACACCCAACTTCTCCTTCCTGGCCCTGTTCAATGCTGAAGGCCAGGGCTGCGTTCACTACAACCTAAAGTCCTGGTGAGTGGGTTGAAGGAATTATGGCCCCGTGGAAGTATCTCTGAGGGTGACAAAGGGGGGCGCGGGACAGAGGGGGCAAGTAGGAGTCCTAGGGGAAAGGAGAGGTCAGGCAGTGTTCAGAAGTTAAGGCCACAAGGCAATGCCTACAGAAAAATAGGTACTTTGAGGCCCTCACTTGCTACATCAGTATTATCATAGCTGATGAGAATGGTAGCTCTCCAAGACCTACTTCACTTGTTTCCCCACAGCACTAAGATCTTGATTTTTGGCTAGATTAATGGAACAATTCTTTAGTGGAGAGAAGTGTTTAAACCAAGAGAGAGTGAAGTAGAAGCCACAGGCACCACTTCTGTGGGGTGTTTTAAAAGAAGCACACATTTTTGCTAGCCAATAGTTGTGTTTTGCTTGGCCTTTCATAAGGAACTGTTCTTGAAAGAAATGACTTACTTTCATGTTATAGATGTTCCCATTTTGATAACTAAGATCTTGTATACTAGGATCCTAGGCTACAGGGTACACATTCCATTTCTGTCCCTCTGGGTTTGGCCTGGAGCCTCCATCATCTCCCTCAGACCTGCCCTTCCCAACAATTCTCCCAGTAGGATCAACAGGACTGAAGGGACCTCACACCATATTAGGCAAGAGAAGTGAGGCTGCTGCAGGAAACCATGCTTTCTCCAGCTGGGGCAGAGTCTCAGAACCCTGCCTGCCTATTGCCAGTAGTAATGAGGGCTTCCTTCAGGGGCCTGGTGGCAGCTCCTCACCTATGTGTCTCTCCTAGCTGCCCATATGTCTTGGTCTTGGATGAGGAAGGCGGGACCACCAACGACTACAAGGGCTATGCAGTCCACAAGTGGAGCTGGGCTTCTAAGACAGAGACTTTGCTCTCCTTGGAATATAAGGTAGGGGTTCGCAGCACGGGTAGGGCAGCCTTGGCAGCCCTCCCTGGGCTGCTCAGCATCAAGAGTTAGAGGACTACCTGTAAGACAAGAGCCCTGCTCTCCAGAAGCGTGTAGTCTCATTCCGAGGTTCCCAAGTTGGTGGGCAGTGGTCTAGGGCTGGCTAAAGTGAACTTTTCACTAGCGTACAGCAACTGTTTGCTGCTGTACTGACCTTTCTTGGTAATATCTTCCTGTGTTATTTTTATTATTAATATTACATTTTGATAGTTTAAATGTCCTTTATTTTAGGAAGTAATCATTATAGTAGTTGGTAGTTTTATTTTTATGCTTATACATGGCATAAGAAAAGTTAGCAATTATATGTTGATCTCTCCAGTTTTTTGTTTTTATAACTTTACTACCTATGAAATTTAAAAATCTGGGAGTCAAAGGTGGCTGACAGATCCAAATCCTTTTTTCCTTCACTGGATTGTTCAGACAGCCATTAATCAGATTTATTAATTTATTATTCAATGTTGAATTACTCATATTAAATAGTAACTTAAGTTTAAGTGTTAGTAAAGCAATTATCTAAGCCTGAGTTTCTCATCCTTAGCACACTGACATTTGGGCATGGATAATTCTTTGTTACAATGTTCCTTGAATTATAACTGTAGGATATTTAGCATGATGCCAGTAATATACCCTCCTCTAATTGTGACAACCAAAATATATCACCAGACATTGCCAAATGTCCCCTGGGGGACAAAATTGCCCCTGGGTGAGAGTAACCAATCTAGGGGATGTAAAGATCAGCAACATCCATTGAGGAAGTCAAAGCTCTGGATGGGGGTTAATAAGAACACAGGGTAGAGACGAATAAGGGCTGTGTGAGAGAGGGACAAGCTCATAGGGTTGGGAGTCAGAGAAAGATCACAGAACATAGAGTCCACTCAAAGTGGCCTGAGAGTAAGAGCCCTAAGGTAAGGATTATGGACAGAAACACTCTTGGAGTGCATGGTAGGGTTCAGGCATCCTATCCCTAATCTCCTGTCTCCTGCCCTTCCTATTTATCCTCTACATTGGCCATTGCATTCTCATCCTTATATCCTGATTCCTTTAGATCAGCGAACCTCTGCTCAGAAACAGTCGATTTCCTGAACACATATCAATCTTCCTACCCCCCCTTCCCAACACCAGCCCGAAATGCACCCCCTCCCTTTTCTCTACCAATCCAAAATGTTCCTCATTCATCCCTCTGCTCAGACTTTCCCTTCTTTGTGGCATCCCACCCCACACCCATTTCTCCTCACATTGCCCCACAGTTTGGATTAGTCATTTGATGATTAGTCATGAGTGAAGAGGTTCTCAGCTCTGGTTGCATATCAGAATCACCTATGGAACTTTAAAAATGCATATTTCCAGAGAGATTCTGATTCAGTTGGTTTGTTATAAGTTCTGGAATTTGAAGTTTTCATGAATATTTCTGATACTTGGCCAGGTTCAAGATTTTCAATCTAGGGGTGTATTGAGCTGGTGTCTTAAAATTTAACTTTTTGTAGCTGTATGATAAGTTTATAATGCAAGATGATTATAAATTGGTTACAGGCAGACACTATATGAGGTATATCATTGTGGCCAAGTGGACAGAGAACTGGGATGAGAGTCTGAGAGCCAAGTACTAGTGCCAGTTTTTCTAGGCTCTGGCTGTACAGCTGTGTGAAAACCACTTAGTTTCTCTGAGCTTGGTTGTCTCACCTATACAAGGTGGGTCATCAGACCTGCTCTCCTGCCTCAAACTGCTTTTGTAAGAACTGAATGAAAGAATGGAAGGGAAGGTGCTTTGACATCACCAAAATGTTTTAGCAATGTATTTCAGTTTATTGTTCTGTTCCTTGGGACTGCATACAGAAATACACAAGGCCTGGAGCAGTCAGGAGCAGCCTGGAAGACAAAGTGTTCCTTGAGTTGTAACATGAGTGTGTATGCATATGATTTACATAGATAGAAGAAGGTAGGGAGAGGATTTGGGGTAGAGGGAGTAGCATTTGTAAAGGTCAAAGTTGGGATTCAGTGTGGTATTGTTAAAAGTTCACAAGTGTCTCTTGTGAAAGAAATGGGGCTAAGAGGTGTATTTGTTGAGGTGTGAAGGAGAGAGGTATTGGATGTCAGGCTGAAGAGTATGCATGCTTTCTTGAAGGCTGCAGTGGCCATTTGTTTTTACCCAGTATAGCATTTCCAGTGTTCCTCATTCCTCCCTGAAAAATCCAAGTTTCTTTCTGGTATCATTTCTTTCCAACCCAAAGAGCTTCCTCTAGCATTTCTTGAAGTATAGATCTGCAAGCAGTACATTCTGTTTTCTTTCATCCTATATAATAATAGCCCAGTGACCAAATGGCAGAACAACCAGAACAACCGGTCGGCCAGTCACTATGTCATGCACTGACCACCAAGGGGCAGACGCTCAATGCAGGAGCTGCCCCCGTATGGTCAGTGCGCTTCCACAGTGGGAGTGCCACTTGGCTGACGGAGATGAGCTGACCGGGATGAGTGGCGCTCCCACAGCGGGCCAATCCCTGCAGGCCACGCCCCCACCAGTGCACGAATCCCATGCACCGGGCCTGGAAAAATAATGTCTTTATTAAAGGGTATTTTTGCCAGATTTAGGATTCTGGGTTGACATTTTGTTTTGTTTTGTTTTAGCATTTAAATATGTTGTTCTACTGTGTCTGATCTCCACATTTTACGATCAGAAGTCTGTAATTATTCAAATCATTGTTCATTTTCTCTAGTTTCTTTCAAGATTTTACCTTTTCTTTGTTTCTAAGTTTGGATATGTTGTCTTAATATTTCTAGGTGTTGTTGTCTTAATATTTATTCTGTTTGGGATTTACTGAACTTCTTGAGTCTGTAAATTAATGTCTTTCATCATATTCAGGAAATCTTATTGCATTAGAAAAAAATTATACTCCAGTCTCTCCTTTTCTGTCTCTAAATTCACTAACTTTATCCTGTCATCTCTGTTCTGCTATTCTGCTAACCCTATTACTATTTTTTTTTTTAGAGAGGGAAGAAAGGAGAGAGAAGAAACATCAATGTGAGAGAGAATCTTCAATTGGTTGTCTCCCGTTCATGCCCCAACCAGGGACTGAACCTGCAATCTAGGTATGTGCCCTGGCTGGGAACTAAACTTGCGACTTTCCAGTGCATGGAACAATGTTCCAACCAACTGAGCCATAATGGCAGGACCAATGAAATTTAAAATTTCAGATGTTTTCACTGCTAGAATTTCCATATAGTTCTTTTCTGTATATTCTATTTCTGATATTTTTCATTCATTATAAGTATATTTTCCTTTATCTCATCAACTATAGTTAAATTGGCCGCTTTAAAGTCTTTGTCTGATAACTCAACATCTTGGTCATATCAGATAAGGTTGGCCTCCGTTGATTTTCTTTTTCCTTGAGAATGGCTCACACTTCACTGGTTCTTCACATGCTGAGTAATTTTAGATTGTTGACATTATGAATGTTATGTTGTGGAGTCTCTGAATTCTGATGTATTTCTCTGAAGAGTGTTGATGTTTTTGTTTTAACAGTCAAAGAATTTGGTTAGACTGATACCACAAACTGTCTCACCTACAGTGGGCAGCAGCTCAAATCTCAGTTCAGTTTTCTTGTTTCCCTAGCTATAAATTATAAATTATCTTGAGTCTGCCTTGCTCATGCATAGTTCAGGGATCACCCAGAGATGTGGACAATTTATGTATAGAATTCAGGGCTCTATTTCTCTCCCTCTGTCCCTTTTGGAAATCTTTCCTTACAGTAGTTGCCCCAGGTTCTGTTCTTTGATTCTTTGAACCAGAAAAATGGTGGAGTTTGGGCCATGACTGTAGCCTGTCTTTAGGCTAAAGCTGTAAAACAGAAAATCATCCCATGCTGGTCCTACCCTTTAAATTTTGACTCTTCAAAGTCTCCCTGTTCTTTTTCTTTGTATTTTATGTTTAAAATATATTTTTATTGATTTCAGAGAGGAAGGGAGAAAGAGAGAGAGAGAGAAATATCAATGATGAGAGAGAATCATTAATTGGCTGCCTCCTGCACGCCCCCTACTGGGGATCGAGCCTGCAACCTGGGCATGTGCCCTTGACCGGAATTGAACCTGGGACCCTTCAGTTCACAGGCTGACGCTCTATCCACTGAGACAAACCAGCTAGGGCCCTGCTATTTTTTTTTTATTATTATTTATTTATTTATTTATTTATTTATTTATTGGCCCTGCTCTTTTTAAACTCTTCATAGCTTTGGGTGGTTTTATAACTTGTAGTAGTTTTCTTGGTGTTTTTTGTTTGTTTGTTTTGTTTTGTTTTCCAAGCCTCTTAGGAGCTGACTCAGCTATGCTGGAAATAGAACCAACTAGCTGGTTTTTAAGTTGAAGGCTGGTATGTTCAGTCTAGCATTTGTATGGAAGGTCAGCTGGAGAGAGAAAGATCAATGGATAGGCTGATAGAAAGACCTGGCATGACTAAGGGTAGTCCCAATATTTTTTTTAAAAGAGCTAGTTCAATAAAAAAGAATTCAGTATTCAGGCATGGGCTATAAAGGATAAATGAGAGAAGAAGGGAATTATAGATGTTTCCATAGTGGAGCGTGTATCTTCTGGGTGGATATAGAGAAGTTTCTGAGAGGGTCAAAGATCAATATGTTTTTAGATATTTTGATTGGATTCAACAGTCATTTATCCTAGGGTGAGAGATTGGGGATGATGGAGATTTTATACATATAATTGGGCTGGCTCATGAACTCCTGAGCAGCTGAGCAGTAACTGAGTTTATATTGGTGGCATTTGGGGAGAGGAAGAGAAACCATCCAGGGAGCAGGGGTAATAAAAACAGCTAAGCCCTTTGCATGTTTTATCTCATGAAATCTGCTCAGTGCTGTAGGAGGCAGATTCTATTATTGTCCCCAGGCTCAGAGAAGGGAAGTAACTTGCCTAAAATTGCCCAACTTGTAAGTAACAATACTAGGATTTGAACCTTAACCAACTGCAGTGCTTGAGCTCTTACCCACAGCTCTATTCTACATCTCTCTAGAAGGAGAATTGGAGAGGATAGATTTTTTTCTTAAGTGTGAGTGTGATCAACAAGCTTGATGATATCAAAAGACTTGAAAAGAAGACAGCCATGGATCAAATGTTCTCACGTTGCTGGAGGGGACTAGTATCCAGACTTCAGAGTGAGGAAGGGACTCATTGGTGAAGAAGTTAAATGTGGGCCTTTGAGCTAACAAGTGAAATAATAGAAGGAAATGGAATGAGTGAAATGGAGAGTGTTTTCTTAGTTCAGAGGAGTCTTGAGGGCGAGGGGGAACGGTAATAGGTCAGGAACGTTGAACATTGAAGGGAGAATCATCATGCAGCTGCCTAAGGCTTCAGACTCCTAGGCCTTTGGTAGGAACACTGTGCATAAATAACTGCATACATGAACCATCCAGGGGCCTTACATGTGAGTTGCTCTGCCACATCCTGACTATGCCTGCTCATGTTCAGTATGGGCCTTTGTGGCTCACGAAACCACTTCCAAAATCTTTATCTCATTTGAATTCAATACTAGGGTTTCAACTATTTCATATTGAAGATTTGCACTTCAGAGAGGCTCAATGGCTTGCTAACAGGAGGAAAAACTGGAACTTATCCCTAACCCACAGAGTTCTTAGTATGGAGTGTGTTGCTATAAGAACAGCTCACCTTCCCTGAAACTGCTACATAGGAAATCCCACCCTTTTGCAAGTGGTGAAAAGGAGTAGTTCCTTTGGCTTTTTTTTCAGGGGAAGAGTGGTGACATATTTGGTGACTGTGGAGGAGGGGAACTGAGCATGTCTGGCTCGGCCCCTGCTGGGTTCCCTTTTGCTGTCTGCCCACCCACCTGCGGAGGGGTATGTTCTGATGCTCCCTGCCATATGGTCAACTTCCCAAGGCAGCTCTGTGCTGTAGAGCAAGGCTCATCATTAGACCTGGTGCCTGAGTGGACACAGCATCTGATTCAGGGATAGTGTTGGCTTATGATCCAAGCTGTATCCCCACATGGCTCTACCAGAACCATAGCTGACTTGCCTGCTGATGCCTGTGTCTCTCGCACAGTTGGTTCCAAGCTTAGGTTGAAAAGGGAAGGGACAGGGGTAAGATGGCATCATTATTTTTTTTTTTTGCCAGTACCCCAAAGAGAGACTGGAATTCTTCTCTCTTCTCCACGAAAGCTATATTCCAACATAAGAACCAGAAAGATTTTACAGCTCCCTTAGTACCAAGCCAAGAGAGGTTTTGTGCTTTGTGGTGGGTCAGGGTGGGTGAACAATAGAAGCACAGGTCCGCTGAATACTGTTTTTTGTGTGTGTGTGTTTTTCATTTACAGATGAATGAGCAAATGAAGCTGACGGTGCTGGGGCAGGACTCCATTCTAGTCACCTTTACCTCCATGAATGAGACAGTAACACTTACTATATCGGCCAATAACTGTCCTCACGGGGTAGGGCACGATAAAAAGGTAAGGCGAAGCAGACCAGACACCCAGGTTTGACCCCAGGGCATCTCAGCATGTCTTGCCACTCTACATCTCAATGTCATTGTGCCTCCTTCCTGCCTAATGGATTCCTACTCGTCACACACACCTGTACCCCATGCAAGGCCCTCCCTCTTTCTCTGCCTAATGGATTCCTACTCATCATTCACTGACTGTCTTTAATACCTTGTCTGTGAAACTTGGGTCAGTTAGGAGTCTTTTAGTGTGACAGAATGCAATGCAGACTGGCTTAAGCATGAAAAGAGACTATATTGGCTCAGTAAACTGAAGTCTGTCAATAGGCAACTTCAGGCATGGCTGGATCCTGGCCCTCAACTGATTACATCAGATCTTCCCACCTCTTGGCTCTGTTTTTTTAGGGAGTTTCTCTCCTTATGGTGACAAGATAGTCATGAGCATCTCTGTGTTCATTATTCTGTCAGCTTTAGTCTCCCCAGGAGAACAGGGACTTCTCTTTCTCAAGTGCTCCAGTAGAAGTGCCAATACCAACATCATTGGCTCTGCTGGATGCCCACGCCTGAAATGTTCCCTGTGGCCAAGAGTGTATGCTGCTCTCACTGACCAGGCTCAAGTGTCGTGTCCATCCTGGGAGCCATAGGGTGCAATCAGCCCCAGGTAACACCTGGACAAAGGATGATGCAAGAGTGTTTTCCTAAAGGAAAATCATGGTGCTGTTATCAGAAGAGGAAGAGATCATGCTGGACAGAATAACTGACAACTCTGTCACCCCCTTATTCATCTCAGGTAGAGTCCACCTCTCCTCCTCGGCCCTCCCAGACATGACTCACCTCCATTCTAGTACTCCTTCTTATACAAGCCAATCTTCTCTATCAAATTGGGAATTCCTTGTGATTTTTACTGATGACTATTGCTTTAGGGCCCAGCACAAGGACTGCTTCAAATTAAGCATGTACTAAACATTTGTTGGGTGGGTGAAAAAACAGTGTAGACTCAAAGCCCAATTCTCCCATTCACTGGAGATTTT